TGAGACTAAAATAGCTAACTACCTTTAACAGCCACATCAGGCAGCAAAGGCCTCATTTGAACTGCATTCCAGAAGTCTGCATGAAGTAGAGTTACTACTGCCCGGGATACCTGATGTGGGCTGAGTCAAAAAATAGTAACATTCTGGTTCCTAAAGCCCTGGAGATTTGGAAGTTTTTTTTTTTTTTTTTTAACACATCCTAGACTAGCCTAACACAGATATTATCAATAAATTCACATGTTCTAAGAAATAGTTCCTATTCTTGTGGGATACTCCCCAAAACGCATTTCAGATTGGGCTAGAGGAGAGAAGTTCATTTTGCAATTCAGGGGTTGTGGGCTTCAAAAGCTGCTGGTTTTGCTAACCACCAAGGATATATAATCAAGTTCATATAGGCTGAGATACCACAAAACAGGTATTTCTCTTTGTATCGACAGTAAGCATTCTGAGTTAAATTTGTGAGGGACTAGGTGGTATGGAAGTTTAAGCATTGTCTTCTTTCTATACAATGCTGACAATATTTCAAAAGTGAAAATTCCAATTTCTATTATTTCAGCCCACAAGGCTGTTTGAAAGTCACCTCACTTGCTTGGTGCATTTCCACCATGGGAAGCCTTAGGTGTAGACCAGTCTTCTAAATGGAGAACAGGCGAGTATAGTTTTGAAGGACTAGGAGCATCCTTTGCCATCTATTCTAGTCTTGGCCACCCAAGAACTCATTCCAGAGGGAGGCCTGAGAGATGAGTACCATGAGATTCTATAGCACAATGGTTTGTGACAAGGAGGAACCTTCAGATCTTTGCACATGGCCTTGGTTTTCTGCACTTTTCACAGATGCTAAAAGACACATGGTTTGGGTTTCATCTAGCCAAGGAGAAGTCAAGAGAAACAAAGCGGATGAAAACAGACTGAATGATGGGCAGAAGGAAAAATTTTCACTGCCTAGGCAAATCACTTTTGTGAAAATACATGAAAAGCATCACACCATTTTGTTTTACTTATCACTATTGTTAGGTTTTGATTCAACTGGAAATTTAGGATAAAACGAAAACATAAGAGATCAAGGATTAGGTACGCTTTCATGGTAACGTGATTTCTAATTTATGTAATACACTGCTTGAAACTCAAATCTTGACTTCCAATTCTAGCTGTTGCAGATGCTATCTGAGGAAGCCAAATATAAAGATGAAGACAAAAATAATTCCACCAGTGGGCTAAATAATTAAGACTATTACAAAGAGACAAATAAATTGACAATGTATTACAATACAAATAAACAATATTTTAATATAAAATTTGCATTTGCACGAAGAAGCTATTTAGTAACAAATATGATTAAACTACACTGCAACATGTCAAAGTTGCATGAGTCACACATATACAACATCACAGTTCACATGAAGCTTTTACTGAGAATAAGCCATCTGAAGGTCATGTTCTGGTATGAAACATGTAAAGGTTTTTCAACCAAATCTCAAGGTTCAGGATCGATGTTCAGAAAAGTTGTCCTATCATTGTTCATCAGACTTGGTAACTCCACATTTGGTTTTTCAAGACAAGTTATAATCTTCTTAAGAGGAACAAATTGTAGGACTGAGGTAAAGAGATGCTAAACAAAAAGGAACTTTGCTGTTGGCACAAAAGATTTACAGTCACTTTCCAAAATGTTGCTATATTTGACAGGATGGGTCAACCACATATTTGTTAATACTGGCAGAAATAACACTGAGATGAAGAACACAAATTATTGATACCCATAAGCAAAAGCACCACCTCTCCCTCTTTCTCTCACCTCCCACCAATTTAAGGATTTATGCTGAAATCTCAGATGTACCTTATTCACATTTTTTGGGACTCTAAATTTTCCCCATCCTATAAACACAGACCCCACTTTTGAAGGACTTGATAATAAAAAGTCACATGCTAAGTACTTGCCATTAGAGACAATTTTATCATTTACCCCAAAAGTATTACAGGATACAAGTTCTACAGACACATATAAACCTAAATCATGTAGCACACCAACACCAGAGCTATCAATAAGGGGTTTTGGCAATAAAAATTCAAAATTTGGCTTTATCCACTGTGAAAAGCCAACCTGCCTAGAGCTTGTTTGTTTTTTACTATACTACTATGAATTTCTTTATATAAAGAGGCCTGTTGCTGACAGGGACCGCATGCATTATATCATGTAGTAATAGGCACCAATGCAGTGCAAAGCTCTGAAAAACTGAATGAATCCTGTCCCTAACCCCATGCTTGTATTTCACAGGGAAAGTGAAACTGCCTGCATGCTGCATCAATGAGATTGTTAAATAAGTTGGTATGTTTTAGCAGATCTAGCAAGGGATGAATTTTTAAAGAAACTAAGAAAAAGAAGCTTGAAGTTTTAAACTTTCCTCCTAATAAATGAAACGGTATGCTGTTTCAACTGCTCACACACAGAGCACTGTGCCCTCATTCCAAAAGTCAAGGTTATTTTTTATTTCACACAATTTTTATTCATAGAAAATACTATTCTAAAACAAAGTAATTGATAATCCAATATCAGGATGCTTTAGTGGATTTTTTTAAATCAAAATCATGTTTCCATGCACTTGACTTCTGGATTAAATATATCATCTACTGGGAAAATTCATAACATTTTTTTTAAAATGTTTATCTAATTGAAAATTATTTTAGACTGCCTTTTTTTTTTGTTTTATATTCATAAATATTGAAAACAAACCTAAGGGCCTCAACTGGAAAGAAATTAAATTAGATGTGCACCATTTAGTAAAAACCCACCCCACCTTTTTGCCAGGATGTTAAAAACACGGAAAATGGTTCACACAGCCAGACACTTAAGCTTTTAAAGGATCCACTTCTCCAAGAACTGTTTCTCCCCTCCAATTTTTTTTAAATATTAATGAGAAAGGAAATACATTTATTTTTCTTATTACATAATTAGGTACTATTTGGTGCCCAATTGGAAACTGGCCTTACATTTATAAAAAGCCAAGTAGATTTTTATTTCTTTATTTATTATGCTCTGGTCGAATATGCCACTTACACACACAATATTTCAATACGGCGGGTGGGGGGTAGAGTACGCTGGGTGGGTAAGGCAAAGCCAAACAGTGACACTTTTCTGATCCCATAACTCTGAACTTGAACTTGATGACTTTTGAAAACTTTGTTTCAACTGACTGTGAAAAAAACGCAGTGAGAGGAGGGTCAGTCCGGTTCATCTCTGATCCAGAAGTTTCCCAGCATCAGGAAAATGGGGCTGCCACCATCAGAACCCTGGTACTTGGGTGAGGGTGTGCCACAGACCTACATGGCGGGAAGGCTAGGAAACTGGCATCTGTCAAGGTTCTCTTAGTCAATACTGTGATGGCCTCAAAATTTGAGGTTACGTTGTCTAAAGAGAAAAACTACTGATAATTTTTAGTTAACCTTAGCATATGGGGGGATGAGACTATCAGGTATCTAGGTAGGAAAGATGAAATATAAACTATCTTTAAAACTAAGTTTCTGTCAGAATAAAAACTCCCTTTGTGCAAGGCTTCCAATAGGCCCATTCAACCACACAAGGATAGAGAGTTTCAAAAAACTCCCCCTCCCCCAGTGAGCCGCTGTTCAAAGTTAATACAAGGAAAGGGTTATCTAAACATCCAGATAGATGTATATTGTGTATTTCTTTTAAAGATGAGAGAAACTTTTAGAATTTCATAAACCCATACTAGTTATTCTGTCTGGGCTCAAGGGATATAGGATTAACTTTAGGCATCTTTCATAAGTTTGGAATCTAATTTTGTGAATTTATTCTAAGACATAAATCAAATGAGGCCAAAGTAGATGGATGGATTTTTAAGAAGAAATTGAGCCTCTAGGGTACTTTCGGTAGATTGAGTATTGAGAGATTTACAGGGATACAATTCTTTACAAGATTAAGGAAGAAGGAAACGAAAGAAAATCTTTCATTTCCAGATATATTCACTTTCATTATTCTTTCACCAAAAGCACATTACTGAAGGAAAACAGGAATGGTTTCTTAGTTATTATTAAAGTGGTTCAAGAGCCAGGGATTCCCTTGAGATGGAAACAAAATAACATAGTATTCAAGTTTTCTTTATAAGACAACCTTGTGAAGGAAAAACTTAGAAACTTCTGGCTTCAAAAAGAATAATGCTGAAGGAACTTTTTGAAAAAAAAAATTACGTTTTGGCAAAAACCAACAAAAGTTTCTCCTATAAAATCCCTACTTCCTTCTTAATCTCCAATATTTTACAATATTTCATTTAAGATGCCTGGCAGTCAAGATTTCATGGGTTGTGGATCTTGATTTCTAAATCCTTAAAATAAATGCAACTGATGTCAAGAGTCGGCTGCTGTCTGAGTCCTCTCACTAAGGAAGTGTGATGAAGAGTGTGGGGACACTGTATGCCCAAGGGGGGAAAGTTAGAAAAATTCAAGGTAAGAAATAAAACATAATAAATGATTTGGAGGGATGGGATGACTTTCAAGCTCTTTTCTCTTTTCTAAAATAATGTCCAGTCTTCTGAATTTCTATCTCTGCAAAAGTGTCCCTGTACTATGGCATGTGATGTTTCTTATAGTTTGATAAAATTACATATCTAGCATGAGATGCAAGATTTCAACTGTATCTTGAGATGCTCTGGATGCTTTGGTTGCATCTGATGGCCTACAGCCTTGCCTATAAAGGCACTGATTGAGGGCCAGGGGTTCCTTGATCTGATGGAGACTCTCTAGCCCCAAGTAAATGAACTAGTGCCCATCCAAGTCCTCAAACAGATTCGAACACCATGCTTATTTTTCTATACCCTGATTGTCATGCCTGAAATTTATTTATATACATGAGGCTTAATGGCATGAGACCACAGATTGTTGGTTGTTGTTGTTGTTGTTGTTTTTTAAGAAAAGCTAGCTCATTCAGCAAAAAGTAAGGATTTGGTTTAAACTGTAAATCAGAGGGAAACTGAGCTACTCCTCTGGCCTGTATTCTTGGAAATACTGTCATTAAACCTATGGTCCCTTATCAGCATGCTGACTTTTGCGCTGCCTCAATGTGTCTCCTGGGATCTTTGTGTCAGCTGAAGAGGGCTGCTCAGGGACATCGTCTTCAGTCTCATCAAGTTCTACCTCCTTCTGGGCCTCTCTCAGGGGCCCCTGGACCTTGGCATCACTCCTCTCCTCATCCACACCAGGAGTAGGGCTATCTTCTTCCTCTTCTTCCTCTGCTTCGTCCTCATCGCCAAGGTCTTCTTTCTCTTCTTCATCGTCTACAAGGCTGTCTTTGTTTTCATCTTCATTTGAATCATCTTTTTCCTCCTCTGCATCCTGCAAGTGTTCAGCCCTATGAGCCTCCTCTGACCTTCGACTGGGCTCTGTGGAGGGAAGAGAGGAGAACCTTCTCTGAATAGCCAATGGTTACTCTGAAATCAACTGAGTATGGTTAGCTATGAAATGAAACAATGCTGCAGTGACAGTTCTCTCCACTCTGAGGCTCTGTTATCACATGGGACCGATGTCTCCTTGGAGTCCTAGCCCCATCCAGGGCTTCTCAGTCCCTCTCTGGAGATTTCACTCATGTTGACTTTGGCAGAGTATGTGGGCATGGAGGACAAAGGTGCCTTCATGCTTGGCATTTTGTACCCTGCAGAGGTTCCACCCACTGGTCAAGGTGATTGGTTCAGAAATGTGACTTAAGATGAGCCAATCAGAATACTTCCCAGGAGTTTTTACCAGAGTCAGGAGGAAAACTTTCTCTCTTTCTACAAGGATCGCTGAACTGACAAAATGTGAGTTGAAGCTGTTGACAGCCACTGAATCAGTCTCATGGAAACAGAAATCTAACATTCTTAAACTGTGCTTAATGTCAAAACATCCCTGGACTTTTTAGTTGTAAGAGCTAATAAATTTCTTTTTTTTCCCCTAAGTTGCTTTAAACTGGGTTTCTGTTTCTTTTAAGAAATCTAAGGAACAGAATATATAGTCTCATCTGTGAAAGCCTTAAAATCTTGAAAACTTCAAGAACTAAAAAGTAATATAAACTTATTTAACCCCCACATGAAATTCAACAATTACAAAATTTCATAAAAAGTCACCATGCAGGGCCACCCTGGTGGCACAGACAGTTGAGTGCAGCACTGTGAAGCTGTCTGCAGCCTCTGCAATGCCAGTTCGATCCCCGCCAACCAAGGAGATACCTACATGGCAGGGCAGATCTCTCCTGTCTCACCTGCTGCTCCCCTCAGCAGTGTATTTCAGTCAGTCTGCCTCTTCTGTTCCCTACTCTGTCTCTGGTGAATCCTCTCACCCTCCCGCACATCTGGCCTGTACCCTAGTTCTTATATAAAAATAAATAAATCTTAAAAAAAAAGTCATCATGCAAAGTCTCAAAATTGGAATTAGAAATATTCAAATCCAGGAAATATCAGGAAGCACTACAAGTCTTGAAGAAGACTGCTTTCAAAAGAGTTAGGATGGCTAGTGGTACAGTAGTGACTCAATAAATGTAAGTTCCTCTCTTGCCCTTCTCATTCCCATTTGAATGAAGGAAAAAGTATCAACTCATTAATGAAGGGCATACACTAACAGGGAAAAAACATTGTGAAAATGAAATGTTCCCTAATTTAAAAGAAAAAATAATTTTTGCTAAAATCTATCTAAAGTATGCATCTCAGGAATTTGGTAGTGGTGATGATTTCAGCACCCAGCAAATATAATGGGGAAAATCCTTTCTATAAGAGCACAAAACAGAATTCTGAAAATAACGCTATGACATTAGTTTATCATACCTACCGGAACGTTCAGAGAAATGCCTTGGAAGTGGCACATAGAAACATTCTGATATTATCACCAAGACCTGGAGGAAAAAAGTGATTTTATAGGACAGTTATTACCAAAGAACCTCAATATTAGAACTTGTTTCTAGAACCATATATTCATATACAACTAATTAGCAGGTTGGTCAAAGTCCTTAAAATAATGACCCAGGCATCACTAAGAATTTACTAGTTTCCAAATGTGATACAGGAAAATACTATTAATTTAGAACATGGATCACAAAGTCAATGTCTACAGAGAATTCATTAAAAATAGATGAATCATGCAGGCATAAGAAAATGAGCCCATCTTAATATATTGGTCTTTTAAACTACCCTTCTGGACAAACAAAACCAATCTACACAAGGGCTTCCTCTCACCAATGAGTAACCTCCAAGTGTACAGAAGAATACTTTAGGGTCTAGAACTTTTAAGAGTACCATATGAGATTTTTAAAGACACAATTATGAGAAAACTCATTAATGATGAGAATTAAATGTTATTTTAAACAGTGATTGATTGATTTTACCTCCAACCTTGATTCCAGCAGGAGTCACTTTCTTACTAGTTTACAGCAGTTTCTATAAACTTTCTTAGTAGTTTATGATATAAACTACTAACTCCTTCCCCTGATAAACTATAAACTCCTTATTTTGCAGGTGCATTCCAGTCCATGTCTTAGAGTTTAAAACTCAATCAAATTGATCAAATGTAGGTAAAGATTTTAAAAAGTATATCAAAGACTAAAACAATAACAGCTGCCTATATAGTTAATAAATTTGTTATTCCAACTCTTACCTAAAACACCTAGCTAGAATGCAGAGATACCTAATAATACTGATTTTCAAACCCAAAGAAAAAAATAGTGATGTACTTTCTATCTTATTTTTGTCCTTTCTAGTTTCCCTTGAAACCCATATGGCTTTAAAGACAGGAAAAAGGGTTAGTAGTATCTCTTACCAGACCCATGAAAAGACCAAAAATCAATGTTGCTATGATGAAAAAGACATAAGAACACCAAGCAGGAATTCCAAGAGTCACAGTGAAGTAGTTGTGAAGATGCTGTAATCAGAAGAAAATAATTTATTAATTTTGAGGATGGAAAAATGTTTGAATCTTTCTCTCCAGCTACAACTCAGTCTGCAAGTTGCTTTTACATATAAGAGCTCCCACAAAGGTCATACATCATGGTTTATGAATCTATATGATACTTCAAGAATAAGTCAAATTTTGGGCCTCCCCAGTGGCGCAGCGGTTGAGCGCTGGGTTGCGAAGCTGCCCGCAGCCTCTGCAGTGCCGGTTCGATCCCCGGTTGCTCCCCGGCCACCGGAGGAGGGTCCCACATGGCGCGCAGACCTCTCCTGCCACCCGCTGCTCCCCTCAGCAGTGTACTTTGGTCCTTCTGCCTGCTCTGCTCCCCGCTCTGGCTCTGGTGAATTCTCTCACCCTCCCGCACTTCTGACTGTACCCAGTGCCTGTATAAATAAATAAAATCTTTTAAAAAAAGAAAAAAAGAAGTCGAATTTTATATTGATCAGAGACTAATATTCAAGGTCATAGCTATTAAGAGTTATAGTTCTTTGTAGTTCATGATCTGGTAGAACTCTGGTAGAATTGTTTTTCTAGTTCCTTCCACTACTGTCATAAATTTTTTTGGTCACTCTCCCTTAATAATTAGCTACGTTTCAATTTTAACTCACAATATGGCATTCACAAAAAATTAAACTCCTCCAGTCTTCACCAATTTTTAAGAAGTGGAATACTACTTAAAGAAAATTAATTTCTTATGATGTAGCTATGCTTTCTTTTTCTTTTCAAATATTCTCTTCACAACTTTCTTGAATCACCATAAAACCTACACTCAATATTAGAAGAAAGGTTTTCCAGTTAATTCATTATATACAGATGAGATTTTATCAGTCTTTGAGTAGAGGACACATCCCTTCATGCTACTGTTCCCTGGAACTCTACTTAATATCTAATACTAAAATAAAAAAAAATTTAAAAAAAGTGAAGACAAACTTAGTTAGAAATTCTTTTCATGCTAACTCACACAAGAATCACAGAAAAGAAATGGCTATTTTGGAGTCAAGTCCCATCTAGATGTGAATTTGCAGGAACCATGACTCTTCATGATTGTTCAGTGATCACCTCTTTTAGGACCTTATAGTTTCAAAAGTGGTCATTCACTTTAATCTGAGCAGTTAGTGGGCACACAATGAAATGAATTCAAGTTAGATACCACAACCAGCATAAAGAATGACTGAATAACTTGCCTAGAACTTAAGAGTTTGATGAAAATCAGTATGTTACTATTAGTAGAATTCATTTAATATTAAATTAATATTTCTCAAAATATAAATTACTAAAGCAACTCCCATTGCTCTCTCAGTTTATAAATGTTAATACAATAATATACTTTATTTTGGCTTATTTCTAAATGATAAAATAAATAAGCCTGTTAACGGATCCAGAATAACCTAAAAAAAAAATCTCTCTTCAATTTCTTATTCAGCAAAAGATATACTAGACTCAACAAGCATTTTAAACACTGACACATACAATCAAACTATTCAATAATATTTATTAGAAAAAGATAGCAGGCAAATTCCTAATTTCCTTACTCATGGTAAATGCAAACAACTCTGAAATTGTCATCTGTCCTCACAGTATTGGTCATCATTTGTCTTCAGCCAGGATAAATTTTTATTAATAATTCAGCTTTCTGTAGTCCCGAAGGCAAAAGAGGTATTTGGGATATTAAAAGGTTGTTTCACCTCTTCACAAAGGAAAGTCTAAAATGTATTGTACAGTTCTCTACTTTAGAAAATGCTGTGCAAAGAACATAGCTTATGATTTTCTTGATGACTCATGATTAAACTCTGAAATGTGCCAGAGAATCAAAGATGTGGAAAGTCAGTCTGCCTTAGTGCCGATGCATGAATGTATGTATTCTGAAGCATGCTTAATAAATAAATCTGCTCATTTGCTTTACTTATATAATTGGAATGAATATTGTGCAGTTACAAGTCCTAAATAGTCTAAGCCCCCTACTGCAAAATAAATGATTAAAGTACATTCAAGAAACATTCTTATTTCTCAAATTAAGTGAATCATTTGCTTTGAATCACCAAGTCACATTTGTTCATATTCAAAACATCCTCTAATTTTACTGAGTTCCACTTCAATTTTCCTGTATCACCTTACTCTTTTAAGGACTTAAAGGATTTGAACTTCTTAGAGAAATCCTGCCATCTTGTGGTCTTTTAGGTGATTATTACTGAAGTCTCTTTAATCAAGTTGTGTTTTCACAACTGCAGACATAAATCTTTACCTATTTGTCTGAATCCACAATGATTTTAGAGCACCTTAAGAATGGCAGGGTCCATGATACTTGGTACTTGAAGTTTCACTGTATATATGTTTCCAAGTAATAACTAATTGCACTCAATATAATTAAATTTCAGATTACTCAAAGTGACAGGCTTTTTTTAAAAAAACGATTTTTTAAAGATATTTATTTATTCATGCATACAAGAACTGGGGTACAGGCCAGATGCGTGGGAGGATGAGAGGATTCACCAGAGACAGAGAGGGGAACACAACAGACAGACAGACTGAAATACACTGCTGAGGGGAGCAGCAGGCGAGACAGGAGAGGTCTGTTGCACCATGTGAGATTCTCGCCAGCCGGCCGGGATAAAACCCGCGCTGCAGAGGCTGCAGACAGCTTCACAGCACTGCGCTCAATCGCCTGTACCACCAGGGAGACACCAAAGTGACAGTTTTTTCTGTGGAAAATAATGATTGCTCATGATTATATGTGCTCATCACAAGGAAGCTTCCTACTGTTCCCTTAAAGCACTCAAAAACATGATATCTTATGATATCTTCTATTATTATACTATTGTAAGAGACGACTGATAAGAGCTAATTTGACCATATACAGATTGGAGTGCGAGGACTAACTGAAGATAACAATACAGTACCATACAGTACAATAAATGTGAAAAACATTCCCAGCAGCGGAATTAAGAAATGGAGCCAGGCCATGATATCCATGGATAAGAGGCATACCCTCCTCTCAGAGGCCAGCACTCCCTCTGGTATCTGAATTATTGCAGTTCAGATTAAATGCTATCCAAAGACACTCAATCACCTACACTGTTGCACAATTTTAGTCAAGAGCAGGGATGGCCCAAAGGACAGGAAACCTTTTGGATTCAGATTCCACCTAAGTCAAGGATATACTTTGAGAAGGCTTGGAACTGGCCCAGCATTACTTTCCAACACAGATCAGAATCTCAAAATATCTTCCCTGTGTGGGGGCAGCTCAAAGACTTCTCCAGTGGTGGCCAACGGTTCACTTCCTCTTCCATTTTTCCTCTCGAAATTTGCAACAAGACACAACCTGGCAGCTTCTTGTAGTTGTCCTGAGAGGTACCTTATGAATGTGCACCTCTTCACTATAATATGCTCTAGATGTTTTTACAAGGGAAAAGAAATCCGAGAAGAAACACCAATCTAAAATACGGGGGGGGGGGGGGGGTATTTTGGAGTTTTAAAAAACTCTCCAGTCTAAATTCTCATAGCCTTTAATTCTCATCTGTGAAATTTACAAAGCACTAACTCGCCTTCATCACAAGTAACACTGAGAAGCAATAAGTTCTATACTATCTTAGGCTCAGTGAGCAGCACAAATTCACCTAATCAAAATAATGTTTAAATTCAACTGTTAAATCAAGTTAGCAAAAGTATGTATTATACAACAGCCAGAAACCCCTTTTTTACTTCAGTTCTCAGCTTGATTAAAAAAATAAGAAAATAGGGCCTCCCCGGTGGCGCAGCGGTTGAGCGCTGGGTTGCGAAGCTGCCCGCGGCCTCTGCGGCGCCAGTTCGATCCCCGGCTGCTCCCCGGCCACCGGAGGAGGGTCCCACATGGCGCGCAGACCTCCCCTGCCGCCCGCTGCTCCCCTCAGCAGTGTACTTCGGTCCTTCTGCCTGCTCTGCTCCCCGCTCTGGCTCTGGTGAATTCTCTCACCCTCCCGTGCTTCTGACTGTACCCAGTGCATGTGTAAACAGAACAAACAAACAAATAAATAAATAAATAAACATGCCTCTATTAAAAAAAAAAAAAATTAATAAAAAAATAAAAAAAAATAAGAAAATATTCCCTATTGCTTAATCAGTAAAAAGTAAAATGACAACAACTTTAACAAAAAAGTTAAAACAAAAAATATTTAATATTTAAAATATTTAAAAATTTTAAATGTTTAGTTAAATAAAAATATTTTACCCCAAAATAAAAAAGGTACTAATATTAGAGAAGTGATTTTACAGAATGCATAATGTATTTATATGTCAAATTTCAGTTTATCTTATATATCTACATTTGGTCTCCTTTTTAAATATCTAGAAAGACATTCTAAATGTGTGTATACATAAGTATTACATATCTGCTACTTCTTTAGCATACATAGTAAGAACTAACAATACTAAGAAGAACTTCTTAATTGGTTATTCAGAGGTGGATCATATTCTATCCTCGAATGGCCCTTTCTCTGCAGTCCACCACAATCCACATATAATCTCACCACACTCCCCACAGTTAGGCAGGCACTATATGCACTAAGATTAAAAAAAATACCCCATCCTGGCCTTTACGTGATCATCACATACTATAATCATTTATACTGAAATATTGAAAAACTATAATTCCTTATCTAAACTCTTGCATTTCTAAACAGTAAATAAATGTCAAGTTCTATGAGGCCAGAGCAATCACCTATCTTCCCTGACACTATCTTTAAAAGCATAACTTCTCTTTAACAATGTTTAAAGGTTACGATTAATTTTCATCTAAGCTCTCTTAAACTAATAGGATATACTCTTTTCTTGACCTGTATTTATTATAGGTTCCAAGCTAACACCTTGCTTTGTTGATTCCTCATAATCACCCATTATAATTATCCTGTTGAACAAGACATCATAAGACTACAAAGACCTCAAATGGCTATTGGGATATATGGGCTCCTACAACCTCTAGGGTCTACATACTGCAAAAGACAGTACACTTTATTCTCAATTACCAGTTTGCAGTCCTTAGCCCTCAAATTAATGTTTCCCCAATTAGGAAAATACTAGGAGGAAACCATATGAAACATACTATCTGGAATATTAGTAGGAAATATTAGTAGGAAACCATACTATCTGGAGAGAAGGAAAATAACAGTTATTGTTTAATATCTGATACTAATTGATATAGATGTCAAAAAATTAAATTTTAATTAAAAAATGCTGAATCCCAATGACCAATTTAGCATCTGTTATAAAAAACAACAAAAATCCCTAAAGTTGGTATTTTATAACATAAGGCAGAGAATAAAACACAACTGAAAAACTGGGACAAGAAAGGTTGTTTTTAAATATCCCTCAACATGTATCATTATGCATGAAAAAGTCTTCATGAGTTTGTTGAATATATTAAGTTAAATGTGACAATCAAATATTCTAATCTGCAATCAGATTAGAAAAGATAACATAGGGACTCACTTCTAAAGATTTTTTGAAATACCTCAAGGCTATATATTTAATTTCACAGTACTTTTGTTAAATCTGGCAGTTTAATCCACTCTACACATAAAGGGGAAGAAAAAGTTATGTGACATATTTAAGGTATAGCTTAAATATTTTAATCTAAATATAAACAGTTTTAATTCACTGAGATGAAATTATACAATTATATATAGCAGAGGTGTGCAAACTTTTTCTTAATGAACTATCCGGTAAATATTTCATGCTGTTGGTCATATGATCTTTACCACAATTATTCAGCTCTACCACCGTAACCTAAAAACAGTCAAAGGTATTGGGTAATAAATGAATTATGACTATGTTCTAATAAATAAAACTTTATTTACAAAAATGGGAGACCTGACCACACTGCAGTTGTTGATTCCTGACATACAGAATCACTTTTAGGCTTAGATAATAGCTTTTACTCTATAGGGATTATGACAATGTGAAAATAAGATAAAGTAAAGCTATATAAAGCTTTTCAGCTGTGGTAGAGTTTTATCACTATTTTAACAAATAAGATTTGACATCGCAGTTAATGTTCTTTATTCAATTTGTGCCCTTCTACACAAAGGCACATTTTCACTGGGGACCCCATATGACAGTAGTTGTATAGCTTAAGAAAAAAAAGTGAAAAAAAGGGATGTGTAAGTGTTTACTTTCCTATCATTTAGAATTTATATTTTTTATTTCATAAAAAATCCTCTGCAAAGATAATCACAAAGGATATATTTAAGATTACTCACCCATATTTTGCCAGAGATGCTAAAAAGACCAGCCATACCAGACATCCTAAAAAAAAATGAAGAGAAGGAGAACCATTAATGACATATACTAGGGAAAACAAACAAATCCCAAGTCACCAAAACTGCTCCTCCATTTCTGCAAAACATTGTCCTTTTTCCTGGATTCATTTCTGTTCTTAGCAAGCTTAATTCCTATAGCCACCATTTCAATTATGCTGCCGAAATACATTCAAATCACTTGATCCATTTTCCCTCCACTGTATATACTTGGCAAAAACCCAAAACCTGAGCATCTTGCAATTCGGGGGGGGGGGGGGAGGAGGGGGCGGCAAATTACATGATGAGCTAACAGTTCTTCCTTCAAATATAAATCTCAGTGAGTACTCACAGTCTCCTGTCCCACTGCAACTTTTTAGAGTTTGAGAGGCTAGCTCAGATGCTTTTTCCCTTCTCTTCAAACTTGATACGCCCTACCCTATCCATGTGCTCTCAGCCAACAAACACTCCTTACCTGTCACTGTGAAATCAGAAGCTATTATGTGATCTCTCCTATCTTCCCACCACCAGATCTGAGCCTGGTGCACACCTGCATCCACCTTCTCCTATTACATCAGAAAACATCTCCCACATCACAGTTCAAACTCCTCCATTTGAGTCTTGGATTCCATTCCTTTGGTTTGTTAATGTCTTGGTTCTTTTGTCATTCCCTGTTGCTTTATTAGCAATTTCTCCTTTCCCCTGGATCATTTTCATCAGCATGACCTGTTCTGCCTGCTCTCATTGGCCCTCAATGTCCCTCCAGCTTCAAAGACAAACTTCTCCTAAGAGTAATCTACCCTTACCCACTTCTTCACCATATCTTTAACCTATTTAAATCTGGAGTCTGTTTTCACTAAGCACTGTCCCTACTTACCGAGTCCACAATGAACTCACGCTGCTTCACTCAAGTCCATGTCTCAGACTTGATATTCCTTCATCTCTTGGTAATATGGGACACAAATGGCTACTCCTTCCATTTTGGAGCACTCTTGGTTTCCACAAAACCACACACCCTTGCTTGTCCTGTACTGATACTCATTTTCAGTTTCCTTTTGATGACTCCTCCACCAAACCTCTTAATTTTAGAGTGTGTTGGTGTCACTTTTCTCTATTTTCTGTCTCTAGGTAACCCCTTCTTATCAATATGCTTTGTGTGTTTTTGATCATGGAGACCCATCTCCTTCCATTCAACTTGATAGCTCTACAATCAAATCTGCATCTCAAATTTAATAATATGAACCCTTGATTTTCTCTTGCCTATATCTGTAAGCGGTACCAGGATCCACCAAATATACAAATCAAAAGCCCTGGAATTGTTATGTGTGAATCTTCCCTCTCCCTCACCTCAACCTATTCTACCTTCAAAACACACTGTAAATCCACCCGTTTTCTCCATCTCCACTGCTGCCATGCTGACACACACTACCACCATCCCCACGCTAGACTTACAATAGGCTAATTGCCATACCGCATCCATCCTTGCCCTCTCCAGTCTCTTCTCCTAGGAGCCATTTCTCAGCGTCTGTACTGACAACATCCACATTGCTCAGTATGGCTACAGGCCTATAGGATGTGGTTCCAGATTGCCTTTCCTCCTCCTTAAATTACTCTCCTCCCTACACTATATTTGACTCTGGTCCCTGTTCTGCTGCTCAGCACTTCAAGTTCTTTCCAGTTTGGGTCCTAGCCACATTCTGTGTCCTTTCATAGGAATAGCCGTTTCCTGCCTTTCACTTGGGGTAGGTTCTTCTATCCCTCGGATCTCATTTTTTGTCCTCCCTGCAGAGTAACTTCTCCTAACCCCTCCATCTAACAGAAGTCTGTGATCACACAGTTATTCTCTAAGTAAAAGTATTTTTTAAAGCAATCGTTATCCAAGCTTTCTTTGTATCCACATCTATCTCATTTACTGTTGAAATATCTAGCACCTAAGAGAGTACATGAAATAAAATCAGTGCTTAAATATTTGTAGAATGAGATGACAGAGGTGAGCTATTTTAAGAGTTAGTTATGTTTATCCTGGGTATTAAACAGATGCCATTAGATGATTTATTCCTAAAATATTTTGTGATTTGCTCCTACTTCATTGGGGATATTGCTCTATCTTTATATATTAATTACAATAAATTTAAAATAAATATAAATTATATTTATAAAGTTAACTGCAGAATTAAAACCAACTCTGAAAAATGTTATTATGGTTTAACCTTATCTACTATACCAAGTATTACAGTTGCCACTGTGGCCAAAATTACCCCAGCAGAATTCTTCTAGGCAACCAAAGATACCATAGTTTTTATTTTACACACACATAGACACATGCGCACACATACACAAACAGCAATTTCTTTATGAACTAAAATTCAAGAAAGAGTGACATGTTTAGCTTATCAATAATTTAAAAGAATAGTAAATGGTATTCAACACCATGTTTTGTAAGGAGAAAACAGTTGGTATGGCTCATTGCAAAGGCTAGAGAACCGGCTTTCTGTACCCAGCAGAAACTGGATGTTTAATTTCCACTATACCGACAACTAGAAGAAACATATATGGGTCCTAAATCAGAAACACCACCTAAGTGAAGTACATTCATGTGTAGTCTGGGAAATAAGGAGTAACAATGAAGTCCATGGGCTAGTCCTGTTTTATTACTAACTCCTTGCCATTAAAATAATAATAATTAGTTACGTTAGAGAAGCCGGGGATTTCCAGCCAGTCAAAGGCTCAACTGATTGCCATTTCTTCTCTAAGATATAATTTTGAAGATCTTCATAGATTCCTGGCCCACGGTAACGGCGGAATATCCCATCTTTTGCACTATAAATTATTAAAACACATAGAAAAATGTTACCTTATTGAAAATAAGAAATTCCAAAACAGAAAGCATTTAACATTCTATTTCATTACTGCACAACTTGTGACTATAAGCACAATTCCTGACAGTGTTTAATCTGTTAAATTATTCTCACATTCCCCTTTAGTCTTTCCTCTGTCTGCCCTTTTCCTCATAGTCAAGATTCCTAAGGGAAAAGTCTACCACTTAGCATGATCTTTTTTTATATTACTCATTCACTACATGATGCAATTAGGGGTTCTGTTTCCATAAATCCATCCAAATTGCTCATATTGGGGGGTTTCCAATTACTTTTAAATGCCGTATCCATGTAGCATTTTTCTACCCTTTTTTTTCATGTCATGGGCACTGTCCACTATTGTACACCCCCTTCCTTCTTCCTTTCCCTTGGCTTTTATGACATGAGCTTTTGAGATTTCTTCCTACTATTCTCTGACTATCCATTCTCAGTTCCTCACTGTGTTCCTTTGCAGATGTCCTAATGTTGGTCAACCCTAGGTCCTATACTTGAAGTGTTTCTCTTCCCACTATATATGTTCTCTCTAGATATATTTCAGTTATTATTTACCACAATGCTGAGGAACTCTCAATATGTATCAAGAGGTTAGTCCTTCTTCTGAGTTACATGGATCCTAACATCAAACTAACTTTTCCTTTTGGAATTAACATTGGCATTTCACACTATCTTCTCCATTCTGGCCTTTATCTTTCAAACTCCATCTTATTCTATGGTTCGCAATAGCTTTTACTAGTTAGGCCTATCTGCTGGTGATCCTCATAGAGTTTTTCTTCCCTATAGTTAATCAGTCGCCAAGTCCTAATGACTATTTTCTACGACTCTCCAGAATCCATCTTTTCCTTTCTCTTTCCCCTGTCGCAACCTCATTCTCTCTAGTCTCATCACTCAGAATGTTCCAAGTGACCCCTTATGGGCCAGTTATAGAGAATGAACTATAGCTCTTTCTTAGCAGGCTATCTCTTTTCTCCTATACTTTGCCATGAAATCTCCTGTCTGGAAAGGATTTCTCCAATTTGTCTGCTTAACCAATTCCTATTTATTTATTAAGAATCATCCTATCTTTTATATCAACAAAAAAATCTTCTTTGACACTTACTCCTCACCTATTCACCACCTGCAACTAGGTTCGTTTCTCTGCAGTGTGCTCAGGACATCCTTCTTTTCTAATAACTATCATTAAGGTCAGATCAATCTTTCTCTTTTCAAATGTTAAGCTGAATGAGTGACGATTATGTAAACCAACTTAGAATTACAGGTGCACATCTACTGATTTTTAATAATTGTAAGACCAGAAAATTACTAAAACTTACTGAAAAAATGCTGGGAGAGTGGTGACAAAGAAGCGGCCACTCAAACCTACAAGATAAATAAAAAGATTACAAGTCAAATTCTGATTAATCCAAGTATCTAATTTAATCCTAAAACAAGCATTTTTGAACTTGCCTTCATAATCATATTATCAAAATCATTGTAATTATTGAATCATATTTACTACTTACTTAAATTTCCTTTTTAACCATTATTATTTACCTAACATTTTCTAGTCACTAATACAGAATTTGCTCAACTTCAATGCATTACCTATGTATCACTTGGAATTGTATGAAAACAGTTTTTCAATTAGTCCTAGAAAACCTTTACAGAATCTTAACTACACACTAATGCTATATTAAGTATATGTGAAGACATATACTACATCAATGCTATACTAAATATATGTGAAGACAAAGATAAGTAAAATCCTTAGTCACTCAATAAATATTTGCTAAGCACCTACTTTGTTCCAGGGATTAAGATAACACAGATATATTAAATAAGCAAAAATATGTGTAATCTTTGTTTTCACAGAGTTTACTTACAGTCTAGTGGCACAGGGCAAGATATACTCAAATAATCACAGTCATGACTATAAACAGAGATAATGATATCAAGAAAAGGGGTAAGCAACAAAAACCAGAATAAAGCTAGTAGTAAAGAAAAGATCCCGGGCCTCCCTGGTGGCGCAGCGGTAGAGCGCTGGGTTGCAAAGCTGCCTGCGGCCTCTGCGGTGCCGGTTCGATCCCCGGCTGCTCCCCGGCCACCAGAGGAGGGTCCCACATGGCGCACAGACCTCTCCTGCCACCGGCTGCTCCCCTCTGCAGTGTACTTCGGTCCTTCTGCCTGCTCTGCTCCCTGCTCTGGCTCTGGTGAATTCTCTCACTCTCCCGTGCTTCTGACTGTACAAAGTGCATGTATAAACAAAACAAACAAACAAATAAAAAAACATGCCTCTATTAAAAAAAAGAAGAAGAAAAGATCCCTGCTTTTTAGAAGTTTACAAATAAATATTTACATGGATACTGTGAGTGAGTAAGCCTGGGTCTGGGGGGGGGAGGGGGAAAGTAAAGCTAAAAAATCTGGTCATAAGGGGAAAATGACATATCATTTTAAGATTTTTCATCACTTGCCCCTTTTCGCCAAAGAACAATCTGTACAAAATGAAATATCTCTTCAACGAAAATAGCTCAAATTTTACATTTCTGTGATCATTTGGAATTTGAAATGCTGAAACTTTACTTTTAAACACATAAATGATGTATTTATACTCATTTTATAAATCAATATTCAGCAAAATAATTTACTGATTAATAATGAGTGTGCCTCCCCAAGGATTGCCTATTTTTCCTCACATCAGAACAAGACTAAAATATCCCTATGCCACTTAAAAGAAAGCTCAGCAGTCTGAAGGTAGTAAAAGTCAATGTCACAAAAAGAAACATTTATTACTAACATTTCTATTTTAAAAAAAGGGTATAGTGGCAATAACAAAAATACAAATAACCTGAGAAGTCAACTGAGGATCATAACAAGTATCTCTGTCTACAGTGTCTCTAACACTGTTTGAAATTTCACACTATCAGGGAATACGGGTATCTTTAAAATATTTCCAACTCCAATTTGCTAAAAAATCATTATGATTTTAGCTTAAGATAATTACCGCAAACAACTTCATTATTTTACAGCTTCCCTAGTTATAGATCCTTGCAATCACCCAACATGCTTATCTAGGGAGAGTTACAGTAGTAGCAATTACACTTTATGTAGCATTTTAAAATGGAATGAGCAAATAGCATCTCATCACTTCAAGTTTCTAGTTAGATTTATTTCTATCAGAATGAATAGACAGGATTTCTAATAAATGTTAGGTTTTACTGGAGGCAGTATTTTTAACTTGTTCCTCAAAATCCTCTTATGTCCTTGGTCATCATTGGCTATGGCAATAAATTAAAAAGTAAATGAGTAAATCTTAAAAATATTTCAAATGTCTTAACTAATTTTTCATCTAGAACAAGTAATTTAAATTCTCTAGGCTTCAGTTCTTTTGTAAATGGGGACCATAATTTCTATCTTGCATTATCTTAGTATTAGTTGATTTCACATTTACTAAGCACATACAAAAACACTGTCTTACATTTAATTAGTACTATATATACATAAATGCTATGACCTTCCATATTTAAATTCTAATTCAAAGTTAGAATATTATAGTAAGTTATAATAAAGAAATTTAGTCTTAAGCATTTTGGAAATTACACACTGTTTTGGATAACATTTTTATAAATAAATCCATAAAAGTCAATGAATACAGAGAAAATTTTTATTTTTTATTTATTTATTTATTTGTTTGTTTGTTTAGATTTATTTATTTATTTATACAAGCACTGGGTACAGTCAGAAGCGCGGGAGGGTGAGAGAATTCACCAGAGACAGAGCAGGGAGCAGAACAGGCAGAAGGACCGAAGTACACTGCTGAGGGGAAACATCGGGCGCGGCAGGAGAGGTCTGTCGCGACATGTGGGACCCTCGCCGATGGCCGGGGATCGAACCGGCGCTGCAGAAGCTGCAGGCAGCTTCGCAGCCCAGAGTTCAATCACTGTGCCACTGGGGAGACCCCAGAGAAAATTTTTAAAAAGCAATACAAAATTGGAAGATGATCTCTGAAAATTTTCTGCATCTTTCTAGTGCAGGCTTGCCAGTTTAACACAATTGTCCCAAAATTGTTAGTATAAGGGAGTAAGAATTTTATAATTCTTGATAAGAATTTCTGTGGTTTTCTGTAACTACTGTACCAATTTACCAGACCAACAATTAAAGTTTATTTAAAATAAAGATCACTGTCAATTAATTGTGGCACCTCAAGATTGCTTTTATGTTTGTTTCTTGTTAGTATTTCTTCAAATGACAATTCATGTAGAATATTAATAATGTTACAGCATTTAACTCAGAAATGAGTTCTGGTTTGTTATCTGGAATACTGTATATCACTGAGGATGTATTCAGTAAATTCAACAATAATAAAATTAAGAGCAACCAAAGCAATCTTTTGATCATTACACATTACTAAGACCTTGAAGATTTGATACCATTGGAAATACATCTCAAATACATGCCACTTCTCAGAGAATGGAAGACATCAAAAAGCCCTGGGTCTCAAGTGAGCACTCCCAAAATATCTTCTTCCTTTAACACAGATGCTATGAAGTGTTAAGACTTTAATTACCTGAAAAGTTAAAACTTTACAACAGAGAAGCACTTGAGGCTGTGGCTAGAGGGTTTACAAACAGGTATGCATCTTAAAGAATTATTAACAGCACTGCAGCAGCTCATGTCAAGGTTTGTATAATGGTTCACTGCAACAAACTTCAGAATGTATGTTGTAAATGGGCAACATTTACAAGCACTCTTAAGTCTTCCAATAAAAGACATAAAGTTTGATCACAAGGTCTCCAAAATTTTCGGCTTGTCTTTAAGGGTGAGTTTCTACTTTAAAATAAAGATTGTATTGCATGCAACATAAAAGGGACATTAATCCATACTGCAGGGGGAAAAAAAAACTTTTAATTAGTAAACTTATCTTAAACACATTTAAAAAAGAATTAAATGATTAGAAAAAAATTATAATAGAAAAGTAGATTGTGAAGTGGAAAACAGTAGAAATTATTTAAGATCAATATTAATAAAACGGGGATAGCAATCAGCTTTTGTTCTTCTACCATGCATTATCTATATTACCTTGGTAAAGTTACTGAACCTCTCTGAACCCTAAGTTTTCTGAATATTTTATTCTTTCTAGAGATGTTAATAAAGTTAAAATATAGGTGTAAGTGCTTATCACAATTATAAGCAGAAGTGAAACAATGGGGGAAAAAATAGAACTAACCATGCCTTTGAGGTTGAAATAAAGTCAATATAATAAAATGCACAACAAACTAATTTTTCAATTATAAAATTATGATATTAATGCTAACTAAAATACAGAAAACTAAATACATTTCTGTAATAAGCTGGTGATTTTAAACATGACACATTTACAGACATGGTAGGGGGTGTCTGTTCTACCTCTAATCTCATGAAATTGCAGTCACCCATGATGGGTGCTCTATGAGCAGCTGTTATTTTTCTGTCCTTGACAGCTAATCTCATCTGCATGAAACAGAAGGTTCAAGAACAAACTCATTAAATTTAATTTCCCAAATTCAATTCAACTGAAACATCACCCTGCCCATGCAGTATTAAACAGGTAATACAATGTAACCTAAGCTAAGACCTGTCCCTCCCTGTCTTCTACATCTCATCTGTAAAAAGGCAGTTTGATTACAATCCCCATAGTCTTTATATTTCTGAAATCCTATTTTGTTTAAAATCCTATTTTCTGTTTAAAATACTTTTAAAATCTATTAGATATGCCAAAGGAAAAGTTATAGGCCTAACCAAAGAGTACGCATGGACACAAAAAATTCTTGTTTTTCCTTCTTAAATTTTACTTGCAGGGAAGAGAAATAGAATTACCCTACTAGAACTCCTGTGGCAAGGCAGTCTTAATGAAAGAATGTACTAATGGTGGTTTGTAACCAAATATAAATAGGTATATGAAATAACCAGTAAAGTGCTTAACTGCAGAGAAAAATAATACATTTTATTGGTTTTCCACTGTTCATTCAGGATGTTAGGTTTCATAAAGATAAATACTCAAATAGCTTTCAATAAAAGGAACAAACTGCCTGAGGATTGCCAGGGTATTAGTACCACACAATACACTGTCAACACCCAGGGGAAAACTCCCCATCTTATCTGGGTTCTTCTAAAGCTGGGCAAGCAAATTAACATCAAACAGATCAGTAGGGAAAAAAGCCAAAATTAATAACATGTACGGAGAATTTCCATGGCTATAATTCTGAAGTAAATGAGGTGAACCAGCAATACATATCCTGTGTTAAGGAACCTAAAGAAACAAGGAGAGAGGAGGTTGAGACACCACATGAAAGGCTAAAAGATTCTCAGATAGGGAGAACATATTCATTGATAAACTACACTTGAATGAGACCCCTCCTTCCACCCAAACACATTACGCTAGGTCATAAGATGGGGAGCAACAACTGCTTCTTCTAAAGGCCAAAGGACTAAAACAAGCACAAGATCTCTTTCAACAAAGATAATCTGCATTCTTTTAAGTAAATGTAATGGACTTCCTGAGCAACAGGGCCTCCACTGACCTTAGTTCCCTATACCAAGGTAACATTTATTCAAAGAGGCTGACTCTTCCATATTGTGAAAAGTCTATCTGACCCTTTTTGGGGGAAACCAACCCCACAATACCCTCTCTTTATTTGGCTTCTGGGACCCCCTATTTTCCCATCGCCCCTCTACTTTATCAGCCTCTCCTTTTACTCTGCAGAAATTTCTCTTCTAAATGTTAGAGTTCCCTAAAACTCAATCCTTAAAACACTTCTCCAACACATACTGTCTATGTAACCTCAATTCTTCCCCTTGTTTCAAATACCATCTACATGATGATCCTCAAATGTATATCTTTAGTTTATGTCTATTTGGATTTCTATCAAACAACGTAAACCCTGTCCCAATAGCGCTCATCCTTCAGTCTTTTCCACCTTCTGTTTTTCCACCAAATGCTATAACCACTGCATTAGGAAATTATTTTGAAATGTTCAGCCAAATATTGTATCTCAAATTTAACCAGTTACTATTGTTGTTACTAGTCCAAGTCACCAACTTATCTAGTACAGACTATTGCATTAACCTCTTATATTCTTGCTTCCACTTCTGATCTCATACAGACCACTTTTCACACAGTAGCCAAACGCATTATTTCAAAGCATGAATCATTTCATAACATTTCCCTATCCAAAACTTTCCAGTAGCGGAGGCCTCGCTGGTGGTGCAAGGGATTAAGTTTCAGCACCATGAAGCTGCCAGCAGCCACTGCAGCATGAGTTCGAACCCCAGCCAGTAAGCTAACGTAGATGGCACAGCAGACCTCTCTTGTCTTGCCGCTGCTCCCCTCAGCAGTGTATTTCAGTACATCCACCTGTTCGGCTCCCCACTCTCTCTGGTGAATCCTCTCACCCCTCCACATTTCTGGCCTGTACCCCAGCTCTTGTATGCCTAAACAAATAAAATAAATCTTAAAAAAATAAAAAATTATAGAGCTCTACATTTAAAATTGTTATAATACATGTAACAATTTCTTTCCCTTTTTTGGACTCTCTTTCTTCATTATCCCTATAGAATACCTTTTCTTTGATAAATGTTTCAAATTATATATATATATAGTTTTACTTTAAAAGTACTATGAGCCAATGATGAATTTGTTTTTAAAATATTTCATCATAATCACTTTGTCTATCACTTCATTATCAAAACAGCATATGATGCACGCACAGTGGAAAAAAATTGCTTTACAACTATAATTTAGATGGAAAAACTACATTCACTCAGACAGTAGATTTATCAATCTATTAAAAGCTGTATAACTCTCTTAATTCAAATCATATTGTGAATTCACGGCAGGTATACCAAATAGCTGACATGTGAACAGGCCAAGCTGCATCCAAGACACTCATAAAATGTGGTGCCCAGTAATTAACAAGGCTTACACCTGATTACACTGAATTCAAACTACTAAAAGACAAAAACAAATTTACTGTAAAAATGTAATTGCAACAACTTGACCTCCAAACAGAACAAGTGATTATAACAGACAAAAACCATGAGCTAATAACTGTAATTGTCTATTTCTAAATAGCAGATGACCAAAGTGGTTTTGATTCAAATGTTCATGGCTTTTAACAGAAATATCTCCCTATAGGTTTATCAACACATCGATCTTAACATACACCATCCATTTTGTTGTCCAAGTAATTGGCATTTAATTATTTAGTGTTGTTATTTAACTCAGTTATTATAGAAACACTTTCATACCTACCTTCCTTTTTTCCCCTTGTAAATGAATGAAGTAGGTAGAAATTGAATGTAGATAGGAAAAAATGACAAATTTTGAAAACAGTCAAATTTGAGGTTTATATTTAAAAAGTCCAATGTTTATTTTTCATTTATACATGTAACACACAAAACTATTTTTAAACTACAAATAAAAATGTATTGTGTTCAGAATTTACAAGTCTGTATTTCCTTCTTTCTTTTGTATTTCCTTCTTTCTTTTTTCTCCTGTATTTCCTTCTTTCTTTTGAAAAATAACATCATTAACAGCTATGACTATACACAGAATGACAGAATTACAAAATTACAGAATTACACTATTCTGGAGCCCACAATAAAATATACGATTCAGGGAAAATATCATGGGTCTTAAAACCTCAGAGTATCACACTACAGATTACTTGCTAATCACAAAGTAGGATCTTTTCTTTATGATTGAGAAATTTAGTATCATTGTAACAGGGTGGTGCCCAGGAAAAGGGGAATTTCCAGGTTCCCTGCCCCACCCAAAGGAAGGTGGAGCTAAAGAGAAGAGAAGAAGCTGGAGAAGAGACAGAAACCAGGAAGGAAGGAAGCAGGATGGAGAGCAAGAGGGAGACCTGGACGAGGCACATGGAGCAGAGAGACATGTGACCAAACGGCGCTTGCCTTTTGGTCGTGGACTGGTTGAAACAGATGTGGGTGAGAGACCCATGGGGAGGATAACAATGGCAGCTTTAACTTGATTTTGATTTTGTTCTTTTCCTCCCAGACTTGTCTCGTTGTTTCTGATGCTTTTCTGTGGGTCCCGGCAGGAAGGTGCTTTAGACTTTTGGGCCTTGCTCTGGGCCAATCCCATTTGGGTGGACTTTTACCCACGAGGGGATGTGTAACTGTGAGTGTTTGATTTGAAAACTATATTCTTTGTCTTTTCTGTATTGTTTACTAATTGTATTAAAGTTCCTTCCCATTAAAGTCTTACATGTTTTGTGTTGATGCGGTGGATGGCAGAACCTCTTAAAAGCAGGCAGGTTTGCGGGGTCTGGGGTGCCCCTCTCCCTGCCCTGTAACATCATCACCTTAATCAAATGCTCAAACTCAACATAATAGTGACAGAATTTGTCTTTTGATGAAACGTAATATCAAATCTCAGCATCAACAATGAAATATTTTGCCATAAATGTTTATTATCAATCTTGTCTCTAGAATGAACTTCAAATTTACAGAAAATGCAGAATAAAAAGAAAAAACACCTAAGCAAATCCCTGCCCAATTATTTTATGAAGATCAGTGTCATGAAAAAAGTGGAGGACTGTTGTATATTGAATGAAACTAAAAACACATAGCAGTCAAATGTAAATGAACATTGATGATCTCCTGGTTCAAATAAACTGTGAAAGATGTTTGGGGAATAATTAAGGAGATATTCATATGCTTAAGTATTGAAGATTAAAGTGTCATAAAGTCTGAAATGTATTTTCAAATGACTCAGCAAAAAATACATAAATAAGTATACACGTCTATGTAAGTACACATATACACATACAATCCGCATATGCTATAATGTTACCTACTGATTCTAGGTGGTCAGTACATGCATCATAAATATCCTAGGAACCTTTTCTATATGCTTTAAGAAAATTTAAATAAAAACTAACAAACTTTGGCAGTTAATGTTCAACACTGACCGTACCTGGTTCTTGAATGACATCTACCTTTCCCACACTAATCTGAAGAAGTTCACCGTTCTTTGCAAATGTTTCCCATTCTGAATCAGTCTGCTGGCAGGATGGACACCACGGGGCATAGCTATAAAGGAAAAACAGATAATCAGCATAAAGATAAGAAAAAATATCCGCAATACAAAATGAAAAAGAGTATTTAAATAAAAAATTAACTCTTCACTAAATGAAAGCATAAAAGCAAGTTTTCCAATCACTTGACATAAAAAAACAAAAGTACAAATTCCCTCCAGAAATTAATGTATGAATTTCAATTCCCTGGGGAAAAAATAGCCAAAGTTCAAAAGATTTTCACAAGTTATTATAATACATTTTTAAATATCATATAAAAATACTGTATTAATTATTATAATACAATGTAATTCATTTTATATGAATTTTATTCTTACTATTCACCCAAATTTTGTCACTTTCCAGATAGCTTTGGGTTTTCCAGTGCGAAAGGTTTTAATGTGTCACTGAAGGAAGACAACTTTCACAAGTTTCACTAAACTAGTCAGATCAGTTTCAATCATTCAAGGCTACATCTGATGAGCAGTACCCAGAAGATCTGTTGCTAGTGGGTCCAAGAGTGAGTTTCTTCCAAAGATCAGTGACAGATCTAAACTGTCCCAAGAAAGTGAAACTATTGGCTAAAACTGCTCTGACACTTTCTCAAATAGGAGTTGAAACACCTGGGCATTTAACCGGACCTCTACTTTCTACCTTTATTTTTTTATTTAATAAACAAACTGGGTACTATCCTAGAAGCTTGACTACAACTGTGAGCAGGATAGAGGCGGTGATTCCTCTCTTCAAGGAGTGCACAATCCAGACATGAACAGAGGTAAGTAAGCACAGGAGTAACCACAATCCAGGCAACAAATGTCATGGCTGAGAGTGGAGAACAGATGCTATGGAGACACTCAGAAGCTTGATGATCTCAGAAGGGCCCACAGAGAAACACATCTGTGCTAAGAGCTAAAGTAGAAACAACACCCTAAAAGGGGAGCAAAAAGTATGTTCTATTCACAAGTAAACAGTGTGTGAAGGCTCAAATTGTAAGGGGGAAAGGATGTCTTGAGCTAATTCCATGTAGGTTTTGTGGACGCCACCCCCACTCCAGATCAAAGCCATCAAAACATTGGGAAAGACAAATTCCGTCACCACCAAAGGGAAGGTGGCTGGGACCTGAGGGTGGAGTTAAGCAGCCAGGTTGGGTATAAAAAGCAAACACGTGGGCCTTGGGGGTCTTGCTCTCTCGCTTGCCTCCTGGCTTCAGGGCTCCTGGCTCCCGGCCAGTTCTCAGAGTGCCATTTGGGATTCCAGATCGGTGGATCCCGTAAGACGCATTTAAAACTTTGTCTCCCACATTTCTCCCTGAGTTGTACATTTCCTCATTTGCCCTTCCCTTGTAAATAAACCTTTTATTAACCTTTCGCGTGTGCCTGCAGTAGAGTATTGATTAAATCCTTTTAAGCGCGCGGGTGAGGACCCACAGTCAGGCACCCCGTTTTGTATCGGGGCTGCACTATAACAAGAGTACTGAGAGAGGAGGATGAAAACACCATGCACAGGCTCTTACGAAACTATATAAGGAATTAAGACTACAATTACAGCTTCATTGTAAACACCAAAGATGTAAGAGAACTATGATCAGATTTACATTTGGAGAAACTGCCCAGCAGTTCTATGGATAATAGATTAGGAAAGGATGAGAAAGAAACAAAGAAAATCTGAAGGTTCTGCTGTCATCTGGGCACTAAGCAGGAGGCCTCCTCCCTTTGCCCTCCCATGGTCCTGGAAAACATCAGAAATATTCACACCATAAAGTGCTAATGTGGTCCAGGATTTCATCTGCAGTTGTTAAAACAGAAAGCCAAAGAAGTCTGCTGTTCAGAAAGTATAAAGGATTGAATAGGATCTCCTAAAAAGGTATGCCCAAGTCCTAAGGTCCAATCCTGTGAATGTGACCTTATTTAGAATGAGTCTTTTAAGTACATAATTAAACTAAGGACCTGGAGATGAGACCATCCTGTATCTAGAATAGGCCCTAAAGGCAATGACTAGTGTTCTTAAGGTAAAGAAAAGGGAGCTTTAACACAGAGACTCAGGAGGAAGCCCACACAAAGATGGTTGCAGAGACTGCTGCTATGTGCCACAAAGCAAGAATACCAAGGGCTGCAACCAGAGCTAAGAAAGGCATAGAGCAGACACCCTGATAGAGCCTCCAGGGCAACTAACCCTATCAACATGTTGATTTTGGATTTTTGTCCCCAGAATAGTGAGCAAATACATTTCTGTTGTTTTAAGACACTAAATTTGTGATAATCTGCAATAGTGAAAGGAACTGAGACAGAAAAGACACTTAACATTAGAAGGAATTGGGGGCCTCCCTGGTGGCACAGGCGATTGAGCGCAGCGCTGTGAAGCTCTCCGCAGCCTCTGCAGTGCCAATTCAATCCCTGCCGGCCAAGGAGATACCCACAGGGCGCAGCAGCCCTCTCCTGGCCAGGGAGATACCCACAGGGTGCAGCAGCCCTCTCCTGCCTCGTGTGCTCCCTCAGCAGTGTATTTCAGTCAGTCTGCCTGTTCTGTTCCCTACTCTGTCTCTGGTGAATCCTCTCACCCTCCCACACCTCTGGCCCTGGTTCTTGTATGCATAAATAACTAAATCTTTTTTTTAAAAAAAGAAGGAATTGGGATCAGATATGCCTTATGGAGACTTAAAGAGCTAACAGAGCTATAATTAATGTAAAATACTAGGAACAAACATTAACATATGCTGGCAATCAATTTCAAAATAACTAGTACATAACACAATTAAAAAGAAAATTAAAATTTAGAAAATTAAGAAAAATGCCTTAGTAAAACTGGAGAGACATTCTCTCTTGAATAATAATACACAGAAGAAAAAAACACAGTAAGTAGAATAATCAGTGCTCACAAAATAAGAGCAGATACTTCAGGAAAAAGAAATCTTTAGACACTTTGAATAATTTCAGGATGCCACTGATTGGACATATTATAAAAATCTACTTAAATTACGTTTAAAAAAAATCCTTAACTCCAGCCAACATATTAAGGGGATAAATGCAATACATGTCTTTAAAATACTTGCTAATTCAGTAATTTTTTTATGTTTTAACTACATCAAGTTAAAACTTTAAAGATCAAGTCTTTACATCAAATTTTGAAAAATGTGAAAAAATTCTTAATGACACAAGAGTTGAAAATCTGCTTATTTTTCAAAAGGTCATTTCTAGGACATGTTATCAAAAATGGAGAGTAAAAATAAAAATTGATAATTCTACAAAACCATGACACCTGCAAATGAAAATGGAATTCATTACTTTCACTAGAATGAATATTCAATGATAGCAATGACTAGTACATTGCTCATACTTAGAACATAACCTGAAAGGGCCCGGGCCACAGTAAATGTTTATTATATCAATGAACAAATAGGAGATGATAGTGATTAACCTTAATACCTAAGAAAATATACACAGATGTAAATATACACAGATGTTTCCTTCAGTAATATACTTGAAGAAGCTCTTGGTTAAAGGAACAATTAAAGTCTATTATTCATTTATTGATTTAGTCAAATAGTATTTATTGAACGCCTAGTACTTGATAGTTATTCACACTCTGGAGATAAGCAAAAAGACAAAAAATAACTTAATCCTCTATTTACATAAGTGGAAGAGTCAGACAAAAACAATACCAAGCATATAAATAAATAAATTTATCATTATAAGTTCTGATAAGTTTGAAGCTAGATAAAAACAATGCACAAAGAGATATAATTTACTGGGGGAGGGGGGACTGGCATGTAGAGAAGACAGGGCTTCTATTTGAACAGTGAAGACTGTCAAGAATGGGCATATAGCAATAATGCTATTTATTGGCATAAACTAGAGATGGTATAATCACGGGTGGGCCTCTGAATCATAAGAGTAAAGGCCTCTCATGTAGGTCAGGGTACTAGCCAGCTGAGAACACATAATCTCCAAGATTAAGTGCCTTCACCAAGCACCCCTTCATCCCTGCTGATTATCCAGTTATAGCTCAGACTTGTATTTGTTCTAGTTCTGAACCCGCCTACCATTACTAAGGTTTTGACTTTGGCCAAAGCTTTAACCTTTTTCAAATTTCATCTCCTCTAGTTAATAAGAATGAGAATGATAATTCTGCATCAAATTGCTAGAATGATCAAATAAGAAAGCATTCAGAAAATGTAATATAAAATTGTAATTGTTTACTGCCACAGAAATAGGAGGAGGAGGAGGTGGGCAAAGAAGACTCTGTAGAAACAATCTGAAATAAATACTCCTATGACAGTTTAGGAGCTTCTATTTTGCATGTCTTTAAATCCCCTTAACAGTACCTAGAGTTGAAAAAAATTGCTTATTGTGGTTTTTGCTACATTTCATTTGGAAATGTGCATGGGAATAGAGGTGGTGAAATTATTTTTTATTTATTTTTTTATTTTTTTTTTTTTTGTGGGACCCTTGCCGGTGGCCAGGGAACGAACCCGCGCTGCAGAGGCTGTGGGCAGCTTCGCAACCCAGCACTCAAACACTGCGCCACCGGGGAGGCTCTCACTTCAATTTTTAAACATGATCATCCCAGGAAAAGTCAGGAAAAACAGTGCTTTATAAAAGACCTACATGATTTTTGAAAAGGTAATTTAATTTAACCCAAAGACATATGTTCTGCTCCCTAGGTATCAGTTTAACAGTAGGCAGGACAAAAATTAAGCTACTTGAATATCCACTTACTTCCTTTGGGGGGAACAAGCTACAAGAACAGAATACAGAATGTATTATATTGCAAACTTTTGTGTTTCAAATAAACAAAAGAAGTATTTACAAGAACAGATATACCGAGTGCCAAACAAGTATTTAAAATAGTAAAAGGTTACAAAGAAACAGAATGAAGAATAGTATGAACCAAAGAAATAGAAGAACTCATTAGAAGGCATTTTAAAGATTAAATAATCTTCCTAATTTAGAGAAATGACAAACGTTTCTCCAGCGATTAAGAGGAAATAAGTAAGCCAATTTTAGAGTAACAGCAGAGAGGGCTAAAAATTATAAAACAATAGAGAAAAGGTAAGTATAAAATAAGTCCATAGCTTTAAATGAAAAGTAAATATTTGTGGGAGAATTTTCAGAATTTAAAAAAGGTTTTAGAATTCAAATGATGAATGACTGAAAATATATTTTAACTGGTATCTCTTTAAGAGGCAGGTGTTTTTTTAAAGCTAAATTCAAATCCAAGGATGCAAAATTCTGACAGAAAAACAAAGAAAATTCAACAAATTAAATTCTCTAATAGAAGGTTTCTCAGAGCAAACACTGCTAGGTCCTTAAATATGAATTAAATTTTGATACCAATATAACCAGGAATTGCATTCCACAAGATTTATATGAAAAGAAAAAGTCCCCTAAAGATTGGTAGCATGTAAGCAAATGAACAAATAAAGACCTGCCATTCAAAGTAATGACAAATGTTTAGTACTATCAGGTCCCCCAGCTTGTTCTTTAGAGAAGACTGGAAACCCCTTATAATCTCCATTTATTATGACCAGTTCACCTAAACAAAATATGAACATGGGAAGTTGTATTAAGATATTTTGCTTTTCTGTTAAATATTCAGGGAAAAAAATGTGATAACATTGGTAAGTTGAAAGAGTTTTTAGAAAATTTTAGTAGGCCTGTATTTATACTTTAGAAAGTGTTATATTTTGTCAAAGGGAGGAGAGAGTGTCACAAATAGACAAGAGCCACAATGTATCTTCAGGACCAGTAAGCACAGGCTCTGGTATACAGGCCAAAGTTTTTATAATGGCTTAAATTCTCTTTCCTTTCCAGTCTTGCTTCATATTGACTTCCTCCGAAGTGTACTCAATGAAGAGAGAATTACTAAATGATCAAGTGTCTTCACAGCTTACTTGCATGTTACAAATGTCATCTTGCATCACAGCCCAAACAAATTATGTACAATGAACACATGGCAGGTTTAAAGCAATTGATTATTATGGCTAGAGATATACATTTATAAAGAAGTAAAATTTGAATCATCAACATGACCAAACATGGGAGTGTTGATAGTTGCTCACTTATAAATTTAATATGGCTTACACCTGGCTGAGCTTTAGTGTTCTTAGTTCTTTAACTTAAAAAGTCATAGCTATTCTAAAAGGAACTACAAAGGAGTTGAGGTCATTAAATATGAGCCTTTTCTGCTTGACTTTCACTCTGTACATACAAACTTAGTTTTAATCAGAAATCTTATTTTAAAAACTTCATTATGTAAGCACCTACTGAAAAAAAAACTTTCTGGAGTAGCTGACAAAATGACAATCCTGAGTAAAGCTTCACTTACTTTAAAAGTTTCTGTCTTAAAAGGAAAATGGCTTCCTCACCTTCATCCAAGGTAGTGAAGTGCTTTAATAAGTACTTCATGTCTACAGATCTCTTTAATAAGTCCATTGATTTATTATGATACCAAAGGCATTTTACTTTGAAGTCTAAATTATCCACTTCTTTGTGGCCAAAAGGTAAGTGCACGTTTGAAGGGATAACGTGCATCATGTTCTTTGAACACTATAACCTGCTAAGTGGCATAACTTTTGGTCCTAATCTCTAAGGCTTACAGTCCATGGGCATCAGTTTGCAACTAAAATTCAAAGAATCAAAATTTAGTCTTGGCCAAACAAAGGAAAGAGTCAATCCTTTGTGTGTCCTCAGTTAAAATTAATTATCATTTAGCAGTGTACAAGTATGTATATTGCCTGAAACCACAGGCTAAGGAGATGTTGTTCAGAAATTTCATTTTCCATGCAGACCCACCATGATAGTATCTCCAATCTGTATCTCAAGACATTTAAATGTCCACTATCTAGTCAACACATCTTTTCAAATGCTCTCTTCCTCCCTAGAAGTTAATTTCCAGGCACAATGAACAAATTCCTTGTCAGTTCCTAATTCAAAACTACATTTTCCCATCTTCTTTTGGCAAAGACCCTAATAACCATCTATCTTCTATTGTTCAAAAGGGGCATTTATTAATGCCTTTCCTTTAGTATACCAGCACAATTCAGTTATGATATCTACCCAGAAAGTCCTACCTCTAAAAATTATAACCACTACCAGCATTTATTTGAAATCTTTTAACATCTCAAAGACAACCATCTTTCCGCTGTATTCTTCATGACATCTCGGGGTCTTCAAAATGAAGACTCAGGATATTTTTCATAAACTGCTATGCCCTGCATGGCGCTGCACGTATTCATTCACAAATACCTAGCATACCCGTGCAAGTATTTGTGCTGTATATACATGTCACTGAGCGCTGCTCCTCCTTTTCTAGGCACACACTTTTTAGAAAAGCACGCGATTTTCTTGCATATATTCTCGGTTTCCCCTCCTTCCCTAGGTAAGCGGCCTTCACGGTCCCCGAAACACCGCCCACTCTAGCAGGGGCCGGGGAGGCTGGGGCGAGGGGGTAAACGCTGGCACCGCAGTTACGACCCCGGCGGGCTGGGCGCGCATGCGCCATGCGGGCTGCCCGAGCCCGCGCGGCAGGTTGTCAGCAGGGCGGGTCCCCGGCCCCAGGTCGAGCCGAAAGGCACCCTGGGGTCCCGCGCCGCCCGCGCGGCTCGAAAAGGGCGGCTCCCGCCAGGACAGTGTGGCGAGGCGGGGCGGGCGGGCACACTCACAATTTCAGCATCCACTCGCCCTCCATCACCAGCGTCCAGTTAGAGGCGGTCATGGGGCGCACCCGGCTCCCCTCCTCCGGCACCGCGGCCTGCTCGGGGCCGGCCTCTGCCGCCGTCGCCGCGACCCAGGCGGCCAGAAGCGCCGTCAGCAGCGGGCGACGGCACCCGCCCGCCATGTTGGGGCGCGGAGCGGGGCTTCTCCGCCAGGGGCCTGAGGGGAAGGAGGCCGCGGGGCCGCGGTCTCGCTCGCCCGCGGGGAGAGGACTTTTCTGGCCGACTCGGAGATGCCGAGCCGCCCCGCCCCCGCCAGGCCGCGAGAAAGCCTGCCGGTCCAGCGGGCGGCCTCCGCCGCCTCTTATCTGTGCGGGCCCGACAAGGCCACGCCTCCTCCCGCCTCGACTTGCCGTTGCCCTGGGAGTCGGTTGCCTTGGCAACGGCCGCCCCGTCTTCCGGACCGCCCAGCTGAAAATAAACAGATGACCCAATGTTGCTTAAGTTAGAACATGCGCTGCGTGTGCCCAGGCTCCCCAGAAGCCCGGGTTTTTGGCACATGTGGGTTTTTCTAAAGAGAAACATGGCCAATGATTTAAAAATTCATCCTTTATTTAATGGTAGCAAAAAATAATACAACAATGTAAACTAGATCTGTTTAATGAAAAGTGAAAGGAGGTGGGAGAGGAAAATGTTAAATGTTCTCTGTGCGTATCTGCTGAAGTATCATTACCTACCTGGAGACAACAGTGAAACTAGACTTGGCGACTGTTATTTTTTTTTTTTAATGATTTTAATTTCATAAAAGTTTGTCAGTCGTTTACAAATCTGTGTAACTTTGATTGGACATTTTTTTACAACTCCATGTGTGCACATGCTTCACTTACTCTTCATCAAAACTCCTGTGGGTGCTGGCAGATATAATGAGTCATTAATAAAGATAGTGTCAGTTGCAATAAAATGAAGCACACACTTCTCTTTTGTCAGATGTGAAATAAGAGCAGCCTTGAATGATTTCTAAATCTCTTTACAGATACACTTTAGATGCATCTGTATCTTGAGAGCGCCCACCCTTAGTATGTTTCACTGAATTAGAACTAAAGGATAAGTGAGTCCTTTCAGAGTTTGAGTTATAAGGAATTACAAGGTCAAGAAAGCATAAAACCAAATATGTGTTCAATGTATCATTAATAACGCGTCATGTCTGTTCTCAGACATGAGAACAAAAGTAAAACAAAACTACCTACTATACAACTCTGAGTACTCTAGGGTATTTGAGATCAATTACCAATCAGTAGTTATAGGAGAGAAAAATTTTGCCTGCAGAGAAAATCTTACCTGAATTAAGTTTTAATTAGTGGTATCTAAGAGCTATATAGACCAAGCCCTTGTTGACAAAGTATAGACTCCTGTCTATAAACTATTGTAAATTTGGACAATGTCCCTGCAATAAACGCTACTAAGAGTCACTATTATTGTACACAGATCAATCTTATACACTCAAAGCAAAAAAATCTTACTGTGCTTATATAAAGAAATGACTCATACGTGGAAATTTTATCATTTTCAGTAAAGCTTTTGTATAACATATATATATATAATTGGTTAAAATTGGATCTGATATTAAGGATTACTATTAATTTTGTTAGCTGTCATAATGGTGTTATGACTATATTTTTAAATCTTTATTGGTTACAAAATATTCCAATATCTAGAATTTTACAAACTTCAGAAATAAATTTGGGAAGTGGAGGGAATGGAGAAAACAAAAGTGGCACAATTTCAATCAATGTTGACCTAAATTCACTTTTGCTGACTTAACTGTTTTTTGTGTATGTTGGAAAAACTGCAAAATGATAAATCAGAGAGAGCACATCTGAGGCATAAAAGAAAATCATTGCTGAAACCTTTCCTATGTCTAACACAAAATGTGTATTCAAGGGTTACATTTCTTGACCTTCAGACAAAGGCCAGAAGAAGGGATATAGCAAGAATATGTGGGAGCAAGAGTAGGGCCTCCCTGGTGGTGCAGCGGGTTGGGCGCAGTGCTGTGAAGCTGTCTGCAGCCTCTGCAGCGTGGGTTCAATTCCCAGCCAGCCAGGGAGATACCCACAGGGCACGGCAGACCTCTCCTGTCTTGCCTGCTGCTCCCCTCAGCAGTGCTTTCGTCCATCTGCCTGTTCTGCTCCATCTCTGGTGAATTCTCTCACCCTTCCTCACCTCTGGCCTGTACCCCAGTTCTTGTATAAATAAATAAATCTTTAAAAAAAAAAAAAAAAGAAAGAGTATAAGGGACCAGAAAAAGAATAACTATAAGAAAGAAAATATCAAAATCAACAAACAACTATGAACCAGAGACACTCTATGGGGGGGTGGGGGGCGGGGAAAGGAGGGATTGGGGTCAAAATAAGAGGGTTGTAATTGTATAGGGAATATAAAAATAAAATTTAAATTAAAAAAAAAAAGAAAGAGTAAGTGTGAGGTGGAGTGGTAAAGGCAGGGTAAGTGAGCACTTGCTGGAAGGCCATGAATGATACATTTGCCTGCACTTTCTACCTACGTTACTTAGCCTGCATCCCAGCTCTTGTATGCATCAATAAATAAATGTTTAAAAAAAAAAAAAAAAACTAGCCCTGGGCCTCCCCTGGTGGCGCAGCAGTTGAGCGCTGGGCTGCGAAGCTGCCTGCAGCCTCTGCAGCGGTTTGATCCCCAGCCCGTGAGGGTCCCACATGGCACGCTGACCTCTCCTGCCGTGCCCGCTGCTCTCCTCAGCAGTGTACTTCGTCAGTCTGCCTGTTCTGCTCCCCGCTCTGGCTCTAGTGAATTCTCTCGCCCTCCCACGCTTCTGACTGTACCCAGTGCTTGTATAAATAAATAAATAAATCTTAAAAAAAAAAAAAAACCAAGCCCCAAAATAATTAACACCAAAGTTTTGTTTAAAGGCAGGTAACAAGGCCTCCCTGGTGACCTAGGGGTTAAGTCTCAGCACTATCACCAATACGGCCCACGGCTGTGGCCTGAGTTCGATCCCCAGCCAGGAACATAGCCCACTTACGGTGCAAAAGACCTCTCCTGTTTCACCTGCAGCTCCCCCCTTAGCAGTGTATTTCAGTAAATCTCCCTGCTCTCCTCCCTACTCTAGCCCACATCCCAGCTCTTCTATACAAAAATAAGTAAAAAAAATCTTTAAAAAAGTAAAATAAATGCAGGTAACAATAGAACCTACTACATACATAAATGAAATATATAATGCTTATCTCATGGATATAAAATGTGTCATAGGATGAATAAAAGTCGTTTATTAATTTTTGGAGTAACAGCGTATTATAATGGTTCTAAGGTTCCTGTTTTTCCCACATTACAGTCTAACTCATTTATCATGGTACATACTCTTTCATAATCCAGCTTCAGTTTTGCCATTTTACATTCTACAATCCTTTATGCTCCAGTAACACAAAGCTACTCCCCATTTACCAAACATGTAGCAAACAATGGTGAAATCTTTTTAGAGTGTGATGTGAGATCACTCTGCTTCCTCTGGAATAGGGGAGTTAATGGTGAAATCCCCTATTCCTGCAACACATCCCCAGACCTGAACCACATTTCTATCATAGGGATATTGGCCATTCCCAAATACATTGTGTAATTGACATAACATTATTCTAATTGTAGCCACTGTGTCTGTAGAAAATATTAGCATGTTATCATTTGTTAGAGAAAAAATTGGCTCCTTTTTAAAAATTTCTCCTCTCTCTCCATTACCTTCTCCCCCAACACCTCTTCCCCAACTTCCCCTTTTAGATGACAGAATCATGTCTGAGTTGATAGCACAGTAGCAAGATCCCACCAAGAAACCAGTTTGCCTGATGAGCACCAAAGTACACCCAGCTGTAATAATGCTGCAGCTGCTCTCTACTTAAATCAATGTTCTCTAGTAAAACAACAGACAAAACAAATAAAAGGTACCTGTATGCCTCCTCGTCTTTTCATTCTGCTTAGAAAACTCCTCTGGTTAACTAGTGAATCATTATTCAGCCACTGTCATGTAACTCACACTTACCTCCTATAATCATTCTGAATTAGTTGCTGCCTCTTCTCAGATCAGCACAACTCTACCACACCCCCTCTTCTATTGCAACGTAATTATGGCTAGTTATAACCTACATTCTTTGTTCCTATGAGGAAATTTTCAAGGGTTTTGCATTATTTACCTTTTTGTCTCCCACATAGTACAATACCCATCCCATAGCAGCTCTTGGGATAGATATCTTCCCCCAAGATCCCCACCTTTTTGTGTTCTAGCCATTGTGAAGTCATCTCTCTTTTTGAGTGTGGGCTGGCTCTAGTGGCTCACTTCTAATGAATAGGATGTGGTAAAAAGTAGTGGGATATCACTTCTATGATATGCTTACCAAAAAAATGGGACTTCCACTTCTTTCTCTATTGCTTGCTCATTTTGAGATGTTCTGTGGACAGCTGTATATGATAAGGAACTCATAAGCCAAGCCTGCAGCCATCCTATCATGAGGAACTGAGGTCTCAATCCAATAGCTCTGGGAAAATTGAATTCCACAAACATCATGTGACTGACCTAGAAGCAGCTCTTTCCCCTACTCTTGAGATGGCTGAGACTTCTGTGTGAGGCAGAGCCAGAAGGGACAACTTAACTTTGTCTAACCCATAGAAAGGATGAAATAATAACTGTTAAGCCACTAAAATTTGAGTAATTTGTTATGCAGCAATAGTAGCTAGAGCAGGGCCTCTCTGGTGCCACAAGGGATTAAGTCTCAGCACTATGAAGCAATCTGCAGCCACTGCAGCACGAGTTCAATCCCCAGCCAGGGAGCTAACCCACACGGCGCAGCAGACCTCTCCTATCTCACCCGCTGCACCCCATGGCAGTGTATTTCAGTTAATCTGCCTGTTCTGCTCCCCACTTTCTGACAAATACTCTTACCCCCCTGCACCTCTGGCCTACACCTCACCCTTTGTATTCATAAATAAATCTTTAAAAAAAATAGTAGCTACAACAGTTGTCATTCCTCTTTATGGGTAAACTATGGAATAGCAGTTTAAGAAGATTGGTGTTTGGTACCAGGAGAAAGAGGTATTATCCTAAGAATAGTCTCCAATGGTGATATTTTGGGCTAGCTGTGATTTCACAAAATCCATGAATACAAGTAGGAAAAGAAATTCCTTGGATGCCGATGAGATGACCCAAATGCAGGAGAGAAAGGAAGAAAATGGTAGATGCTTATCTGATTCCATTCTCTTTCCCAGCCTGCAGAGCAGCACACTTTTAAAGAAGAAAGTCAGCTGTTTTTCAGGCATGCA